TGATATTAAGTGAAAAAAAGCAAAGCAATCGAAATTATTTTTGAGTGTAAAATTGTATTTCAATCGAATCAAACACCCACGATAAATACAAACTTTTAATAGTTTTTATTGCTCGAAAAGTTTCTATTTACCTGCAACTTGATATTTATGTTAAATTTATTAGGCCATTTGTAATGGGTAGTGGTAAATTTTCGAATTAAATTAAGTTGCTTTCGATATTTTTATGTTCCACTTTCTTGCCTAATGCCGTGGCCTTATTACCACACATATGAAAAACTAAAAGTCTTAAAGTAAACTTTAAACTTTAAACACATGTTATTAAGCAACAAATAAAGAAAAATAAATCCAAGATTCTCAAGTCTAAGCTGAGGCGAAAATAAATCTTGCTTCCGTCCAATCTAAAATGCATAGAATCAAATCTTAATTCTTTTGCTAATTGTGGATGCTTTACTAGAAAGTTTATAATTTTCGCTAGCATTTCCTATCAGTTTGCTGTCGGTTATGATATTGGAAAACGATATCAGATTACAAGCAATTTTAAGCATGATTGTGAAAGAACTTGCTATCTATGCTCTACGCTTGTAATGCCTACAATTGCCAGATAGACAGACAGACGGACAGAAAAATGAATATAAGCGCCAAATTCTCGATGATGATTGTATCTATTTGACTGGTATCTGAAATTCGCTTGAAAGCTTATACATATTTTTCTTTTTTAATATATATATATATATATTTTTTATTATTTTATTTTAAAACCTAAAACCGCTAATCAAGTAATTTTGCGGCTACAATTTGTGCGGCGAAAACATTTTATTTTATAGAACCGTTTTATTTTTCATCTACATATACATACGTGTATTGACTTACGTGCATATGTGAAAAGAGCATAAACAAAAAAAAAAAAATAAAAATGTTTCAGGAAAAATACTACAAAAGTTGTTAAAAATTTGCCGCCTGCAACTAATGCCAACAAATAAAATTACATATGACTTTTCCCGTTCATATAAATGTGAACGTGTGTCGAGTGTGTGTGCATGGCAAGTTGAATCTTTCAAATTCATTTATGCGGAAAATTACAGAAATAAATAACATTTTGTGGAGAAATTTGTTTCATACGAAAAAGTGCAATTTTTTATATCAAATTAAATTTATCGATGACCATTGATTGAAAATAAATAAATATATATAAATTGAGGAAAATAGAGCATTCGTTGATTAATATCATGGAAGGCCACAATAAAATTAAAAAATAAAAACTGAAAAAAAAAAAAAAAATATATATATATATATATGTATATATATGCCTATGTATGAATAAAAATAAAAAATAAAAAAAAAAATAAAAATAAAAATTAAAAATACAAATTTTCCAATCGTAATTGGGTTAGATTGAATGAGTAGATCTATGAATACATAAATAATGAGAATTTTTTTTGTTTGCACCACAGGGAATGGATGTGTTACGCTTTTCGTATGTTTGTAATGCACAAAAAACGCGCATAAAAGATAGCATAAGTTTTGCATTCCGTGAAGGTGAACTCATTTCAAAGTTTCTAACCGTTTATCCAATGATTGGAAAAATCGAAATTGAATATGATTTCTTTAACTTGAGCAGGTCGCATTTAAAAGCATTCAATAGTCCAAAAAAAAGTCTAAAAATTGCAAATCTATTTCTTACTCTTTTCTTTGTACGCTACATCACATCACCTCATTTACAAGGCTAAATATATATTTTTATATGACCAATTACTGAGGGACGTGTACCCAATTCGCGGAACGCGGTAACGGTAACAAAGAAATGAGAAAAGAGAAAGAAAGAAAGAAATAGGGAGGCGGTGGCCACAGACTAGCGGTGGTGTGCGCAATCGATAAGCGTTTTGCCGTTACCGACTGCCCGTTCACTACATCTACGATTAAAGAAATATTAAGTTTGTACTTCTTTGTTAAGGGTACACGCAACACCCAGAAGAACCAGACACAGACTCATCTGTTGTAATACCGATCGATTCAGAAATTCTTTCCGAATCCAATGTGAGTTTGTCTTGCTGGCTGTCCGTCTAGATTTTTGTGTTCAGCCTACAGGTCTTGATTTTTGAGATATTTTAACGAAATTTGGTAAACCGGCTTGTTTTGGCTGAAGGACGAATACTACTGAGAATGGTTCAAATCGGACTAATTTTTCAACCATTCCCTATATAACGTGTTATTTTGAAAAGTCATTGTATGCATAACTATACTAAGCTTAGTGGTGTAGGATATGTAATCGTGAGACGAATCCCACTATAATATTTTTAATTGCTATTTACTTATTTATTTATTTATTTATTCCACTTATACTAGAAACTCAACTAAAAATTTTGAAAGTCGAGATCAGTTAACTCTTAAAGTAAACGTTAAATTAATTAATATTAAAACTTAGTGCAAGTGCAATAAAATAAATAAGAAGGAAAAAGAAGAAAAAGAGTATGCATACAACTAGCATAGAGCCACACCCACAACCAGTACAGGATCAAATTGCGAATGAACCCCTAAGCCATCGCAAACATGTATAAGCTTGGCACCCGATAATAGTTAACAACAATTCATTTTCGACTCATCGTGTCATTTTAAGGTTAAGAGTTAGTTTAAGTACGACATAGGTAGATTACGCGCACTAAGCAGTGTTGCTTTAATGGTCTTTCAAGAGTTCGATAATGAGAATAAGTGATAGACATCATTTAGGTTCTTGCAAACAACTCTGAGCGGGTAAAACAGCTCATAATTGTATGTACATTGACTAAGCGTAACCAAGGTAAAGTGCTTAGAGAAGCGGTTGGGGACATTAAAGCTTATTTCACCAAGTAATGCAGGCGAGTGAATATTATTATTATTTATTACTTTGTTTACGAAGGAAACGCCAAAAACAAATCTACGTAAGGACAACAGAAGCAACCTATTTTCATAGGGGGGGGGAAGAGAGGCAATCGGATCCCAACGCAAATTCCTAAGGGCAAACACCAAGAATTGCTTTTGAACGTATTCAATTGAATCTACATAGCACCTATATGAAGGAGACCACACAACAGAGGCATACTCAAGTATAGGTCTAATCAAACACAATGTTAGCAATGTAAGGATCATCAAGCTCTTTGGACCACCTCTTTATAAAACCAAGCGTGGACCTAGCTTTGCTTAACGAGAGCTCATATGCAAGTTAAAACGTAATCTATGGTCAAATAGAACGCCCTACGTCTGTGATCGTAACGACGTCCTCCATCTTATGCGAATCAATGAGTAATGAATGACTTTCTTCTTGAGAAAGAAAGCTTCTTACATATATTTAGATTTAGTTTCAGAAGATTCAAATAGCACGATGCAAACAAATTATTCAAGTCACTTTGAAGCTGATGCGATTGCGATTCTAGAGAGAAGGAAGAAAACAGTTTCACATCATCAGCGTACATTGAGATCTGACTGAAATTAATCACCGATTCGAGATCATAAATAAAATGGGACCTAAGTGGCTGCCTTGAGGTACAGCAGACGTCACGGGAAATTCATCCGAGATGATGAAGTCAAACTGAACCCTGAAGTATCTATTGTGCAGATAAGAGCTTATCCCTTTCACTAAGCCTTAAAAACATGACAAGTAAACTCTAACACATTGGTGACCGTAGATCGCCTTTTGTGAAAGGCATGCTGGTCTGGAGATATATACGAATTAATTGGCAAATGCCAAATTCTGAGTCACAATTCGCTCACACAGCTTAGGGAAGACACTCAAATTGGTTATGCCTCTGTAGTTCTCAACAACTTGTCTACTTCGACTTCTGTGAATGGGAATAAGGAAACTACTCTTCCATCACAAAGGGAAAACATCTAAATTCAAAGACAGGCTAAAAATCTTAGAGATAACACCATAAAACTCGACAGCGCAAGATTTAAGCACACATGATGGAATTCCATCAGGTCGAGGCGCACAATTATATTTTAGCGAGCTCAAGCCTTTAAGAACATCATCCTCAGCAATAACCAAGTTAGGAATTGAAACCAGGTTAGTTTTTAGGACATGGGTAACTACCCGGATAAATCGGAACTACCAGTCGAAAAGTTTCGACGGAAGTACTCAGCGAACAGATTTACGATTTCAAAATCATCCGAGGAATTCAGACCCATTAAAAGAAACATGCGTTGTGTGGAAATTTTTCTTTTTGAGTTAACAAATTTAAAAAAGTATTTAGGATAAGCAAACAGAGAGGAATGTAATGAACTGAAGGTATCTGCAATAATATTAGCGGTTGAGGGAGTTAAATCTATGCCTTGCCACGGAGCAAGCGAAATGGTCAAGAGCAAAGCCACTTGAATAGCGTGTTTTTTCTATTCTTGTGATATTTAATTGTCCTATTAAACCACGGGGGACACCTGCTTCGAGCTCGGCACTGCTTAATCGGAACCGATGCAGCAGTAGCTAGATTTAATGTATTGTAGAACGATGACAATAAGCTTTCAATACTTCAATATTTCAATACTTTAAATATTGAAAGAAGGAAAACAATTAGTAATTTTTTCCCAAGTTTTTTGGTTAACCAGCAACGATTCATCGGCTCCTCCTCTGAATCAATGCAAAGTATGGTTTAAGAAAATATTAAAAATGATCAATAAAAAAAATCTTATAAAGATTCGAAGTGCTTTCGGTTCTTCACTTCAATCTTCTTTGAATAAGGCGTCACCTTTCATGTCAAGTAATTTTCTCACAGAGCGGTTGCCGTGAGCGGAGAGGTTACGATTCGTATAATCACGAATATTTTTAAATACTTCGTTGCACGAATGACATGAAATCAACTTTTTGGGCTGAATGCGGTGTTTTTTGTTTACATTTTTTTATTTTCATTTTTTTAATTACATTTTTTATATCTGGGGTAGGCCGTATAGGGCTTCTAAAAGTTCGATGTCCAATATTGAAACTGCAGGATGCGCTTGGTGTGGCATTGCTGGAAGACGCATCGCTATGTTGCTTACTAAGGAAAACGTTGCAATTTACGCTTCTTAAGTGCAGGAATCTTTTCGCAATATCGCAACAGATGCATAGTCAGGGTTCCTAACAGAGCGAATTTCTTGTCGCAATACTCACATTTATTTTCGGAACCAAAACGCTTAATGCATTTAGGGGGATTAGTGTCGAGTTCATGCAAACGTTTATGTCCGTCCAGAAGAGATTTTATACGAAATTTCTGATTACATCCTTTACAAACAAATATTCCTTCAGGTTTCGTATATGCTGGCGCTGTTTTAGAATCACTCATGACTCTAACCTTGGAATGCTTTAAGGATTCCAATTTACTCAATTTCGCTTTTTTAGAGGGAAATATTTGAGCAGCCGGTGCTTTGTCGGTTGCGTTCGCAGCCCTTGGTAACATACTTTTGCGAGTTGTGCCTACGTTTTTTGCAAACTGCTTGACTTCACCGCTTTTTGTGGGCCTAATAATAATGCGTTGCTGTTGTTGTGTTGCTGCACCCAGAACGCGTTTGCGAGCTGATTTTTGTTCGACACTATTTAATGTGGTTTTCACCACTATCGACATATGCTGAGAAAAACTGACGCGTCTCTTCTCCCCCGCTATCGATGGTATCGGTGATTTTTTATTTATTTTCTTTAATGATCCAGTTGTAGCAGTTTTTCTCTGCAGTCTGGCAGATATTTGCAACATTTTCTTAACCAGATGACAGACTTCGACTTCCGGATCTAAGATTACATCTTGCTTATCCGGAATTTTCACTTTTTTTTTATATATTTGTCCAGATGGCAATATTTTCGCAAACTTCTTCGTCGGCAAATACATATTACGTATGACTACGGTTGGTTTCATTTTGTCAGGCTCACTCTTAACTTTTGCGTCAACTACTAACTTTTTAACTAATGAATTATCGTTCGTTGCATTTATTAAATCCAGTGGAGGTGCACTGACTTCAAGCCTTTTTCCATCATCTTTCAATCCTTCACCTGTCAACTTTTTATATTTCATACCTTTATCTACTGACAATGATGTCGACGAGCCATCCCCTATCTCAAGAAAAATATTTTCTTTGTCCTCTGTATTAGGTGAGCTCAGTGCCCGATTACATCGATTAGCAATGTCGACATCCTTGACAGTTTTTATTGGCAACTGATTTACAGGCTCTAACATTTTATTTAAATCAGATCGCATCGATTGAGAATCCTCTAATGTTGGGAAAGCAAGCGACGACGTGGTGCTTGTGCAGTCCTCGGCGCCCTCATTTTCCATTTGTGGGGAAGAATCCATTTCGCTTTTTTAAAGTTGAATGTCGTCTACAGAAAATTATGAATATTTGAAAAAAAAAAATTCTACGTTACTTCGCTCAAATATTTTACCTCTATGAAGTTGATTTGAAAAGTGTTGAGGCAACCTTCGATTTCTGTAAATAGTTTTTGAAGTGTTGATTTCATATATATATATATATATAGTATACGAGTGGATAGATAATGGTTTGAATAAAGACATAATTTGTCAGACTGAACAGGCACTTGAACAGATGATTTTAATTTTTTAAATCTATCGATGAGTTTGTGTTACTCAGTACATTGTCGTAAATGTCAACATGAGCAATGATTAACCGACAACACGGCATCAAGTAGATCAAAGTCTCTGCAAAGAAATTTTGCAAATCATTCTCGGCCTTAACTCTTACTTATGTCGTTTTCATAATAAAAGACAACTCGCTAGTCTTGTTAATGTACACTATAGGGTAAAATAAGAAAAGTATTATCTGAATTGCTAAGTATATAGCTATGCCACAAACTTTTCCTTTCGACCACTTAAGGCTGTCCTTCCTTCCCTCGTAGATGGGAATTCGTTGGAATAAATGCTTTTTTTCTGAGATCATGAATTCATTTTCAAACGATTTAACATTGATTATTTGCAGATGCGATAGTCATTGGCGATTGCTTATGATTGCTTAATTGCTTGACAGCCTTATGCAGTTACATTGTTTACGGTTCTTCTGGTATTGCTTACTGAAGGCGAAAGCGCATTAGGGATTAAAATTTTCAGACTAAAAATTACCCAATCTCTCTCCCTCTCTTTCTCTCTTTATCTCTGGCATCTCCAGCGATTGGAAAAATGCAATTGTGAAATGCAGCCACGTGTTGTAGAAAGCTTTTTAATAGAGTACCTATTAATGCTGTCTATAAAGTAGATTTGAAAAAGACTTGCTGGCATTTATATAATCCCATTTTTGCGGTATTGGTATTATTTTGTTAGAAAAAGTTTCAGATCGGTAAACGTCGGGTATTATGTAAAAGTTGATGTAACAACACGATGCTGATGAGCAGAAAAACTTACTTTCGCGCTTGTAACATATATATAAAAAATAACAAAAGCTGCGAAAGTCATCTGCATGTAATTCAGTTGAATTTTATTGAGAAAAAAAACAAAAACAAAGAGAAAAAAATTAACAGAAAATAAAACAAAGCATATGCACGCATAAAAGAGGAAAATTTACACAAAATAATAGTCGAACTCGAGAAGTTAAAAACTGATGTGTGTATGTGTGTCTATGTGTGCATGCATATACATATATATGTATATAAATTGTTTGGTTTTTCCCATATAATATGTAAGGTATATATATGGCAAACGGATAATAAAATCAGGTTATAATATATAAATATATATATATATATATATATATGTATATATATGGATGCATTAATACACGCTGCTGTTTGTTAAGAGAAGTTAATTGAATGTGTTTCGCTGAATTTATCTTTCTTATCAACTTAATGGAGTAGTAAAACCAACGTTTCAGGGTTAAACACAATCTTTTGACACCTCAGTCAGCATATCCTTTGTAAGTGAATGACATGTTAATGTTTGATGTTTTTTTTTTTTTTCACTCGTTAATCTTATTTTATTGATCGTGAAAATCTCTTAAATAAAATAAATTAATTTACATAAAAACACAAAAAGGCCTTGTTGTAATTGTTATTTATATCTATGACAGAGTAAATGTTAATTTTGTTACGCAGAGAAGTTTGCGTTGGGGAACTTATAAGCTATACATAAAAATTTTAACTGAATAGTGATTCCTCTTAAGAGTTGTATTCATCTCGTTGTTTGTGTGTCTGTACATGAAGTTGCCAGGTAAGGCTTGTATTAAATGGAAGCAAAAGAAGACACTATTTGACGTTACTTAACCGATTTGCGTCATTTGCGGCCCAAAATGCGATAAATTATTGACGAATGTACTAATTGTCGAGGAAAACTGGCTCCACTATAGGCCGTCACATGTATAAAATCTAGCTTCCGACAAGTAGATTCCGCGTCAGCGGCCGTTGAAAATCGTGCCGAAATGAACATGACATTCGAACGAACTTCTGACTTACAAATGACATCATGAAAAGTGAAACTGTTCGATTGCTGCACACATACACGCATTTGTATAATTTCTTCGGTAAATTTGCTTAAAATATCAAACTTGGCGTCACATTGTTTTTTCTTTTTTTTTTTTTTGTTTGTTTGTTTTTATTATTGTTTGATTTCTTGAAAAGAACCGAGACGTCTACATTGACGTCATATAGCTCGATCTAGGTGCTCTTTGAGTTTTAACACAATATCTCCGGTTGATTGTAAGCTACAATTTTTTAATTATTTGTAAATGTTTTGAGAATGCTTTGGGAATGTTCTCTCAGAGCAACATCTACTATGGACGACAACTTGTAGCTTCTTATCTATTCTGGCCAGGGTTGTAGGAGATAGCATCGATTTTCGAATGTGATTCATAATCAAATCTCATTGAATTTTTGACTGATGGGAACATGCGAACAACGGACAGCAAGCAGGGAGGTAGATAGACAGCCAGAAAATCAGACGTCGTTGTGTCTATCGACAATCTAGATGTATATCTTTCTGGATTATATCTTCCTATCTTCTTCGTGCCTTACGCTAAATAAACAGATTTTGTTATACATAGTACGCTTGTAAAAAAAAAAAAAAAAGAAAAAAGGAAAAAACACTAACACTAACAAATGTGAACATATAATATTTGAAAGTTGCCTCCCGTTTCGCAAGACATAATCATTGATGATTGATTAAGAGATTTTTCCATATGCCGAAAACAATGTTCATCGCATCCATTACGTAAATTCTCTGTTTAAATTTTTTTCTGCTTTATATCTGAGAATGTATTGCTGCAAGATTAAATTTTGTCGAGAAATGTTTTAATTTGAATGAATATATGAGAATTGAATAAGTCAAAGTTATTGATTATTTACTCCGATATATGGCCGAACGCACACCTATTGAGCAAAAATGATTTAATGTCGCGTTTTGATTTTTCGTTTTTATTCATTTGCAGTCTACTGACAAATAAACATTTGTACACCAATTACAGTTAAGCTTTTCTACTTACCCTATAAAATTACTCATCCGCCATGTCGAATTTTCTCAGAAACAATAAGAAAAAAATTACATTCGTATTAGACTTAATAGGAATTAACTTTAATTGGAAGATAAATTCAAGGGCAATCCATTCAGTGTATTGTTCGTGTGTTTCAATACACTTAACATTTTATCTTATTATTATTATTATTATTATTATTATTAATTTCGCCAGAGAAATAAATTCTAAGACTAAACTCTTAAAAGCACTAGCATCTAAGGCTATCGGCTTTTTATTAAAAACTCTACCGCACTTGAGATTCGAACCCACGACCATTGACTTGCTAGTCGAGATTCCTCCCCTTCGGCTACTCAGGCGGATAACATTTTATCTTATTAGTCAAGGATCATATGTATTTCTTTCGCCTAATTTATTCTACTTTAATTAATTAATTTTTCTTTTGTCTTTTGCTGTAACTTATAGTTTAAATTCTAAATTTGAAAATTTAGAACTGCTGTGCAAAAGAAAAAAATATACATAGCGTGTCACTCTCGCTGCAGATTACGTATTAAAGTATATTTTTTTCCCTCGACCTATAAATCTTAGCAAGGGCAATTTCGCCCATCTATCTCAAATGTAAATACTTTCTGGGATCACAGAACAATGAAAGAAAATATTTTTATAATTTCGTTAAAAATTTAAATTTTTTATATATAGCATATTTACATTTTTAATAGTTTCCATATGTTGTATGCGTACCCATTATTATTCAAGTTTCTCCTTTTACTTCACATTTAATTGCTTACTCTATTAAAAAAAAATAAAAAAATAAAAAATAATCGTGATTTTCAATTTGAATACGTAGCTTTTCAACTGTTTATTGGTCTTATACACGCATGTCAGATTTGCTTTGATTACTTGCACGGTAATATAAGGTTTTAACGTAAAATCATTAAAATCGTTAAAATACTCTCATGCGCACCTATGCCATATCACTTAATATGTCTCCCGTCTATCAGGCGTTTTTCTATTTTCTTCTTTTTTTTTTTTTATGTTCCTTTGCCACTTCAACATTCAAATGCATTGATTATATGCGCTACATAATATTGACTTGAACAGCTTTAGTTGGTTGGCTGATTGTCGATTTGCTTATGCAGAGTAATGAGGATTTCATATTACTTTCGTTGTCATATATCCAATGAAAAAATCCTTTTCGTTTCGACTAAAAAAAAAAAGAAAACGCTAAACGCAGTGTCAAACAGGGCTGGCTCTGAGTTATTCGCACGTTGTTGACAAAATTGACTAAACGGGGCACTCACGTATCACGCCAAATATCTTATGGGCCTGTCAATCCTGTTAGCATACAGGTGTTTGAATGGAGACTTATTGATTGATGCGTTGTATCACGATAGCGATGGAAGTTTATTTAAATTATTGAAATAAATAATATTTTTTAATAAATCAAAAAAGCTTTATATGAATAGAAATTTAACTTATAACTTTAAGTTAACTTTTGTATCTTTAAACAATAAGTTTGTCATCACACATTGACATTTGTAAGTGCACATCATATATACAGAAAACGTTATATATCGTAAAGGTATCGAGACAATTGCATACACGATCTGCATATATTTATTTATCCACATCCGTTTGCCTTTCCGTATTGTTTCTGTTCGCCTGTTAAAATGGAAAGCTTAAGCTTTGCTACGTCTAGTCTTGATTTCAACCATTTCAACCATATCGAAAATGATTGCAATACTCCCTTAGCATTAGAACTGTTAAAGTTTTACATGCACTGTATCTATTACTGCGAAAACTTGCCAAAATGATAGTTATTTTGTTAGAATTGCTAACAGTGCTCGAAAATGGAGGCGGCTAGTTGAAATCTGCACAAGTACCA